AAGGACGACGACCACTTTGAGGTTGGCGGCAACATCATCCTCACCGACCTGGAGAACCTGAGCTCGGAGGCCGCCAAGAAATATGGAAACAGGGGCCAAATCTTCAGCGCCATCAACAAGCAGCTCAAATACTTTGCGGGCAGGCAGATCAGAAACGTCGGCACGCCGGCAGGAAATCTCGTCACAGCCTCCCCCATCTCAGATCTGAATCCAGTCTTCCTCGCCTCAGGCGCGGTAGTGGTGGCGAAATCGCCAGGAAAGGAGACGGAGATCCCCATGTCCGAGTTCTTCCAAGGGTACCGCCGAACCGCGCTTCCGGCTGACGCGATCCTTGCCTCTATCCGCGTGCCGCTCACCCAGGAGAAGAACGAGTTCTTCCGGACGTACAAGCAGGCCAAGAGAAAGGACGACGACATCGCCATTGTCACCTCGGCTTTGCGGGTGCGACTCAGCGAGGACGGGATCGTCGAGGAATGCAACCTGGCGTATGGTGGCATGGCGCCCATGACCGTGCTGGCCAAGAAAGCCGGCGCCTATCTGACCGGCAAGAAGTTCGCAGAGCTGGAGACGCTCGAAGGGTCGATGAACGCGCTTGAGCAGGACTTCAATCTGCAGTTTGGCGTGCCTGGTGGCATGGCGTCCTACAGGAAATCGCTGGCTCTCGGCTTTTTCTACCGCTTCTACCACGAGGTGATGTCCGCCCTGAACGCGGGCTCGGAGGTCGCGGACGAAGAGGCGGTGGAAGAGCTTGAGAGGGAGATCTCCACCGGACAGGAAGACAAGGAAGCCTCTGCCGCATACGTGCAAGAGACGCTCGGAAAGTCAAACAACCACGTAGCAGCGCTGAAGCAGGTTACCGGCGAAGCTCAGTACGTGGACGACATTATGCCGCAGAAGAACGAGCTGTACGGCTGCATCGTGTTCTCGACAAAGGCGCACGCCAAGCTTCTCTCGGTGGACTACTCGGCTGCATTGGACGTGCCGGGCGTGGTGGACTTTGTCGACCACAAAGACATGCCCAGTCCGCGGGCCAACCGCTGGGGCGCGCCCCATTTCGAGGAAACCTTCTTCGCCGAGGACATAGTCTACACGGCAGGCCAGCCCATCGGCCTGATCCTCGCCACGTCTGCGATGCGGGCACAAGAAGGCGCGAGGGCAGTCAAGATCGAGTACGAAGAGCTGCCCGCCATTTTTACCATGGAGGAAGCGATTGAGAAGGACAGTTTCTACAAGTTCTTCCGCGAGATCAAGAAGGGTGACGTCGAAGAGGGGTTCAAGAATGCCGACTACACTTTCACCGGCGTCGCGAGGATGGGCGGACAGGAGCACTTTTACCTCGAGACGCAAGCTTCGCTGGCCATTCCGAAGCCGGGAGAAGGAGAGATCGAGATCATTGCCAGCACCCAGAACCCCAACGAAACGTAAGTCTTGACTCTGCTGGAACCCTCCTTCCTGTTGTTGCTAACCCCATTATAGCCAAGTATATGGCGCTCAAGTCTGCAACCTCCCCCTCAACAAAGTCGTCGCCAAATGCAGGCGCATGGGTGGCGGGTTCGGCGGTAAAGAGTCACGCTCTGTCGCCCTCAGCTCAATCATCGCCCTGGCCGCTCACAAAACCAAACGACCAGTCAGGTGCATGCTAACGCGAGAAGAAGACATGATCTTCTCCGGCCAACGCCATCCCTTCTTAGGGAGATGGAAGGTCGGAGTCAACAAGGACGGCAAGATCCAGGCGTTGGATCTAGACATCTTCAACAACGGCGGCTGGAGCTGGGATTTGAGTGCGGCCGTCTGCGAGCGCGCCATGTCCCACTCCGACGGCTGCTATCTGATTCCCAACGTCTACGTGCGCGGCCGCATCTGCAAGACCAACACCATGTCCAACACGGCCTTTCGGGGGTTTGGCGGCCCCCAGGGCATGTTCATCGCGGAAAGCTACATGTCTGAGGTGGCAGACCGTTTGGGAATACCCGTCGAAAAGTTTCGGGAAATCAATTTCTACAAAGACCAGGAGCAAACCCACTTTAATCAACCCTTAACGGATTGGCACGTCCCGCTCATGTACGATCAGGTCCGCAAGGAATTCGACTACGAAGCCCGGCGCGAGGCAGTGTCGAAATTCAACGCCGAGCACAAGTGGCGCAAGAAGGGGCTTGCACTGATCCCGACGAAATTCGGCATCTCATTTACCGCGCTGTGGTTCAACCAAGCCGGCGCGCTCGTCCACATCTACGAAGACGGTTCCGTTCTAGTGGCTCACGGGGGCACAGAGATGGGGCAAGGTCTGCACACCAAGATGACCATGGTCGCGGCGCAGGCGCTGAAAGTGCCCATGGAGGACGTTTATATCTCCGAAACGGCAACCAATACCGTTGCCAACGCGTCTCCGACGGCCGCGTCCGCTTCGTCAGATCTCAACGGGTACGCGATCTACAATGCCTGCGCGCAGCTTAATGAGAGACTGGCGCCGTACCGCGAGAAATTGGGGCCGGAAGCAACGATGAAGCAGCTTGCTCACGCAGCGTATTTTGATCGGGTTAATCTGTCTGCGCAAGGGTTCTACAAGACACCAGAGATCGGATATACCTGGGGCGAGAACAAGGGGAAAATGTTTTTCTATTTTACCCAGGGTGTGACGGCTGCCGAGGTCGAGATTGACACTCTGACCGGAACGTGGACTTGTACGCGCGCGGACATCAAGATGGATGTTGGGCGGTCCATCAACCCGGCCATTGATTATGGTCAGATCCAGGGCGCGTTTATTCAGGGTTTGGGACTGTTCACTATGGAGGAGTCGCTTTGGTTGCGGAACGGACCACTTAAAGGGAATCTGTTTACCAGAGGCCCGGGAGCGTACAAGATTCCTGGCTTCCGGGATATTCCGCAGGTGTTTAATGTGAGTCTGCTAAAAGATGTCGAGTGGAAAGATCTCAGGACGATTCAGCGGAGTAGGGGTGTTGGTGAGCCGCCTTTGTTCATGGGAAGTGCCGTGTTTTTTGCGATCCGGGATGCGTTAGTTGCTGCGAGGAAGCAGTATGGTGTTGAGGCGAAACAGGGTGAGGATGGTGGCGAGGAAGATGGGTTGTTGAGGCTGGAAAGTCCGGCTACGCCTGAACGGATCAGGTTGGCGTGTGTGGATCCGATTATGACGAGGGCGAGGGTTGAAAGGAAAGAAGGGGAGGAGAGTTTCTTTATTGCTATTTGATGTTGGTTATGGTTTGGAAATAAGCGGCTGTACCTACCTAGGTGTTGCAATATTGATGGATTTATTTTTCTTTTCTGTCTCTGGGGTTCTTGACTTCGTTTGTTAGGTACAAGGAAAGAGAGTATCTGGATTAGTATTATTGGTAGTATGAATGAAATGACTACCTTTACCTATCATGACGAAAAGAGATCAGATTCAGTTTTTTGGTAGTGATGGTTGAGATTTTGTCTTGTTTGTTGGGGAGGTGGTGCTCTTTCCGAACATCATGGCCTCCACTGTGGCTAAAATTGCAGTGTTCGACAACACACGCAGACTGCCACCAACATCATGGTCTCCGTCGGGACTAAAAATGCAGTGCTCCTCAGCGGGTTTATTATCGTGTGCTTTATATTGAACCGCACTATCGGATCAGGAATCTTCGCGCAGCCCCCCAATGTCCTCTTCCAGACCAATACCTAGCTCTGGGGTCTCCATCCCGATCTGGTTCGTTGCTGGCCTGATAGTGTGGGCCATCGCACTCTGTTGGCAGGAACTGGGTCTCACAAATCCGTTGTACTCTATCCACGGTGATAAGGTATCGGTGCCTCGATCAGGTGGTGCCAAAAACTATGTGAGACTGTCAACACCCTGCATGACGCAACCATGAGCTCCTGTGCTTGACCGGAGAAGCCGTGATAGGCTTTGTGCCTATATCAGGGATGAGAGAGGTAGAAACCATCATGCTCTCCGTCGGGACTACAATTGCAGTGCTGTCGACACCCCTGCATGATGCGTTGATGCGCTCCGGTGGAGAGCCGTAGTGAGGCTCTGCGTGCCTGAATCAATGAGAAAGGGAGAGAATATCATGGCCTCTGCTGGGGCTAAATATACAGTATCGGGTTCTCGCCGCAACTCTCATTCGTGCCTGAGGTACGAGATGACAGAAGCATACTAGATACCTAGATATACCTACCAACAAAGAGAGAAGCAAAATAATACCTATATCTCTTGACTTGGCTGCATAGACAGCGAGTAGTAACGCCGGTGCACACAAGTAAACTAACTTACCTGATCATCCAAAAGCTAATACCGAGGCACGATAGGTACCTAGTTACCGCACGCATGATGCGATAGACTTGAAATCTATTCTCTTCTCTTTGGAGGCACAGGTTCGAACCCTGTCCACGTCTATAAGTAAACAAAAAGAACATCCTCATCTTGCCATCCCCGAAGGAGATGATGACGACGTTGATAGTCGTCGACCGATCCACCCAGGGGTCGAACCTGGAACCTCCTGATTCGTAGTCAGACGCTCTGCCATTGAGCCAGCGGACCTTGTTATTGCATTACATTATAGGCGGGAAGAATTGATAAGGATGAGGGATGTTGGGTGTGGTATGAATTAAGGGAAAGAGTTTTGTTTGTTTGGGGTGGATGTGTTGCTGGATGTTGCGTGGATCCGTGGAATAGGGGCGACCACCAACCCTAAATGGGCTAACCATTACATCTTTAAACACATGCAGCAAAATCAGCCCCGACGCAATCTTTTCACACTTTAGGTTTGCACTTGTAATTCAAAAGCCAATCTTCGGATTGCCAATGCGACTTTTTAAATTGATAAAAGTGCTGTGCTTGTGCATCAAATTTGAAAGTAAAGATTGAATTTGTAAAAACGTGGGAAAAGGGTGGGGTTCTTTTGGGGTACTTGTGGGGCGGCTCTGCACGGACTTTGACAACTCAGAGGGTCTGTCTCATGGGAGCGACGAAAATGTTCCCCCAACACTTCAACGAGGTACCGCAGTTAAACAAAAAGGATCGACGCAGACAGGGTTCGAACCTGTGCCTCCGAAGAGAATAGATTTCAAGTCTATCGCATTAGACCACTCTGCCACTGCGCCCTTAATTGCATATACTTTTAAGCAAATTTTAAAAAATATCTAGTCCTCTTTCTCCATCCCACCGGAGGACAACGGACAAACAACTCAGGGGACACGCTGAATAAAGACACTCTCCTCAGCTCATACAAGTTGTCAGTTCTGTGGCGCTTGCAAGTGGATTAAAGTTGCTGCACTCTTAGTTCTCAAAATAAAAGGCCTTCAAAAAAAGGGAGGACTGTGTCAAGACACATAAGTTTTGCTGTTTAACTGGACAGTGCCATCGACTTTACGATGGTCGAGTATGACATTCCTCGAAAGCACTCGTATTTGATGCTCTTTCCTGTTAGAAGTATGAAGGTCCCATCCCCTTGAGGACACTGCAGGTCACCAAGACTTTTTGGGGCTAATCAAAGCCTGTGTCCGCCAAGATTGAGGATAGGATTAGGGGCATCTGCCTATTTTTCCTCCAGACGTGGAAACATATTCCGTATATCAGAGGTGCCGAAGCGGTCCTCAAGGGGATGGGTTACGACAAGATCTTCCTTGTGCATCCCATACCACGTGGAAAGGAGAGCCCCTTTCACACACCTTGTCATGGCATATTCTCCCGCGATATTACCTCTCTAAACGGCAGACAAGTCCATATAAACTCCTCGCTATATGCAATGCCAGCCAGCCTGTAACAGCTGATTTGTACCCGTGTGATACATCTCTCGAGAACTGTGACCTCATAACCCTTCCTCACTCACATCTCCATGCGCTCCTCCTCACGAGAGTCAAATTTCAAGCTCGAGAACTTCCTCTGCAACATATCCTCCAAAAACCCCTCATCATTGCAGTAATGAGCCAGATTAATCGCCTTGGTCGCCCACTCTCTCGCCCGCTCACCCTCCTGCACGCTGTAGCAGTCAACGGCGTGGTTGAACGACGTCGTGGCCATCCATTCCAGTTCCTCTTCTGGCCAGCCGGCCGAGTCTTTCTATAGAGAGTCCGTGTCAGTAGTTGCGCATTCGAGATGAGTACACCAGAAATCGTTGTTGGAGTGTTGTGCATCTGCAGGCCAACCACAAACATATCCAACACACATCAGAGTCGAAACCCGAAAATAAATAATCGAGACAAAAACTTACCTCTCTCAGCTCCCTCGCCATCTTACACGACTCGTCCAGCAAGTTCATCGCCAAAGCATCATCCAACGGCAGCGTGGTGTGGAACAGACAACGAGTGTACTGGGACAGCTTGACGACATCAAACGTCTCGAGCACCCAGATCTCGTTGACAATCTTTTGCATCGTCGAGTACAGGACTGGTCGTGCATCCAAACACTGTTAGTTTCCAAACCGCAAAATTCCTTCAAACTTAAACCAAGAGAAGACTTACCTTTACCTGGAATCCTCCCATCCACCATCCCTGTCGCATCCTGAGGAGGAGCACCACCACCAGCAGCTCTAAGCAAACAATCTGCCATCGCCTGGAACGTATCGACCCTTCGAGATTTCACACTCCTCGCCTTATTCACAATAACACCCAGATCCTCCCACGCCCCCAAGACAGTCGCCGCCTCAAAGTCAAACGCCAGCAGCATCAAATGCTTTCGCGCCATATCTTCCCTGGAGTGCTCGTCCAGCTGCAGCATACTATAAGCATTGTGTTCCGACGTCAACTGCTCATCAAAGGCCAGCACATGCGCCCTCATATCTCTGTAATCCTTTACCTGCTGCTCCACTTTATCCTGCGTCCTGGCTAGCGAGACCAGCGCCGAAGTGACGATGAACCGCGAAAAGAGCGTCTTGAGCGATAGATCCACGCCCGTAGCCGAGCTGTTGTAGTCGGACGGGAAGTAGGCAATGATTCTCACGCAGGCGGTCAACATCCGAACGACACACCGCAAGTCCCAGGTCGTGGTGTGCTTGAGCGCCAGGTTGTAGGCGTTCCGGCTGAACCAGTCGAGCTCGTCGACGGTGAATATCTTTTTCAGTTTGTTCTCTCCCGATATCGTGTCCTGTTTCTCTTGTTCCGCGAGGGTATTTGCGACTACAAATCATGTCACTTGCGTCAGTCACGTAGGTAGCCAAACCGGCATAATAGACAGTCTCACTCACCAGTTTCAAAGTGTGAACAAAGATCATTCACAATCCCCTCCTTCTCGGCCGCGTTATCCTGCCTCTCCACCAACAGATTCAGCAGCCGGATCGTACACCGCAGCAGTGCAGGCAGATGGATCGGATTCGGCTCCTTGTGCTCATATTTGCTCTGCAGCTTCTTCAGCGCGGCAATGGCGCAGGAGATATCCTCCGCCTTTTGCGACTCGGCGATACACGCCCCAAGGAAATCGACATGGTCCGGTGCCAAGCTGACAGCGTCCAAGCACCGTTCTGCCAGCTCGTGATCTTGGACGCGGATCGCGACCTTGAAGGCCAGATACGCCGTTATCGGTTCAGTCTTCCAGTTCTGCTTGGTCATTCCCTGTATTATCGAGACCGCAGCATCCAGGTTATTCCGTGCCAGGGCGCACAGCAGGAGTTTTCTGTTGTCCGGCAGTGTGTCAGCTTCCAGACCATCAACAGTTACCTAAGGGTACCGTAATAGTTAGTACATACCTCTCCAGCTTCGCAGTGTTACTCGTTCCGCAGTTGTGAAAGACGCTGTGCAGCGAGAGTAGACACCACTTCTCCGCGAGATCGAACTGGTTCAGACTGTAGCACGACTCCAGCTTCTTCCAGGTTAACTTTCGAGACACAGCACCAGTTAGCATGAGACCGTCCATCCTGTCAGGGTGATAAATATAGTCAACTTACTGCCTGCGCCGCAACAGCAGCTTCAGCGCTCAACGGCCTCGTAAGGTGCGAAAGTAACCCTCGAACAACCTCAATGGTCTCGACCGAGTCCCTCTGGTTCGTAATCATCCACATCCTCGTAATAACAACCTTTTCTATCCAGCTACCACTATCACTGTTTCCCTCTGCTGTGATATTGCGCAACGCCAGTATAAAGTCATCCAACACCGCACAACCGGCACTGGGACTCTTGTCGTGTAGTTTCCTCACATGGTGAACGATCAACTTGAACGCGGCGTCGGTGCCGTCGCCAAAATTCCGTATCATGCGCCGGAGCACCTCGGAATAGACATCCGCGTCAAACACCTCGGCGGGAGTCTTCTGGAGCAGCTCGAGCCTGAGCAGCGAGACCACCATCCTGGTGCTGCCGACTTCCGACTCGATGAAATCGACCATATTGTTGGCCCTCTCGAGACCCTCGGGCGTCTCCTGACCCAAAAGCGCGGTGAACAGCGCCTGCATGATTGCCAGCCGCAGCTCGACGCCCTCGCGGGATAGTTGTTCTAGGCTCTGAGTGTTGATGACCTCGTTTGCGCGGTCTAACCACTTGGCCGCGATCTTGTAGTCCCCTCGCGCGCACATCGACTTGCCAATCTCAAAGAGCACGTCGGCGAGCCGCTCCGCATAAATCGGCGTCAGGAATTTGTGTAGCCGTTCCGCTTTGGTGTACATGTGCTCGGCAACATCGAGCCTCTTTTCGATCCATGCCTAGGTAATTATTCGTCAGTCACTTAAAACACCCCCCTCAACAGGAATGCAACTCACCAACACAGTCCTGATAATAAAATACTCCACTTCAAGACACCTCCTCTCCCCCTTTTCCCGTTCTGTCAACCCTTCCTCTCCAAAATCCTGCAGTCGTGATTTATACTCCCCAGCAGTGCCCAAAACCGCCCCAGCCAACACCGTATCTGTCCCCCCATTATTCCCATTCCCGCTGCTCTTACCACCATCAACAACAAGACAATCCCTTGCCGTCTTGAGACTCAACTTCAAAATCCTCACCAACTCCCCTCCGCCACTTGTTTCTAGCGGTTTCGCCACAACCAACAAATTGAGCGCCAGCACCCGTCCATACAAAAACTGTTTCTTCAATCTCTGCTGCCCCATCGTCGGGTCTTCCCTGCGACGTAACCGCGTGCAAAGGTTCCATAGTCGAGTTCCCAGCTCATCAATCTCTGGACTTCCCGACACGCCGTGGACGTAACTGTAGCGCTGCGCATGCGCATGCGCTACACCGTGACCGTTTGAGTGAAAGAGCCTGTCGATGTGTGTGCGGATCTGCGTAGCCAGGTCGTCTGTTGCGGGCAGGTCTTTGGGACTGCCACTAGAGAGAATTTTGTGGAGGTCGCGGGCGAATTCTAACATTACATTTCGTGAGTGGGTGTAATGTGCGGTTAAGTGACGGTGATAGTGGAAAGGGGGATGGCATGGCATAAACATACCGACTGCTGCGTCGATGCGCTTCTCAGCTTTGTTGACTGCCGACTGGGACGCATCGTTTAAGTGCGGGCCGCCTGGAGGCATCTTTGCAATGATCCCCAGGATACAGAGGGATCTAGGGACGTATCTAGGGAGTAAATCGAGACAAAGACGGAAACTGTTGTAGTATCTGGCTGCCCTGACTCGTCGCAGGTCGCGCGCTGGATCGTGGGCACCGCACGAACGAAGGGATCATTGGGCTGACGAATGGAAAGAAAAAGCCACGGTCTGGATATCGATGGGAGCCTAGATTGACTCAAATAATAAGGTAAGATTAATCTTGCCCGTCCAGCCGTGGGAAGGCACGATACGGAACTTGACTTCCTCCGTACCTGCCCTCTCCTTTTGCAACAACTGGATCCAATCCTTGACACATCCATTTTGAACTAGATCCTCCTTCCATATTGTATTTCTAAGGTATCGCAAGATATTGTAGTAGAAAATAAATAAAAGAGCTTGCTCCGAGAACATGTCCCACAGATTTACCGCCCACCAGGCCTATTGATATTTCCCCTGAGCTCGTGAAGCCTCTGAGCGAATCGTAAACACCGGTACTTTATATAACTATCATTGTTCGTTGTTGCCCCTAAAATACTAAGTAAACACAAAAGCCCCCTACTAAACAGTAATCGTCATTGTCGTGCAATGCAAGGTATGGGATGAAAGCGCTAGGTTTGTAAAAATGCATGTTCCTTGTCATGG